GCTGTGACGTATGCGGCCGACAAATTCGACCTTCGGAGGACCCGTCCTGCCGTTTTGGACACAGCCTAATGGCAAAGGCCGATCTGAAATATTTAAATTTAACCTTTCACATTTAGCTGCTACATTTACATTTAACTTTTACATTTAGATTTAACATTTAACAACATAACAACAAAAAATATATAAACTTAACATTTAAAAGAAATTAGCCAAATGTAAGAACAGTGAGCTAAATGACAACAAAATGTTTGTGGAAATTTTTAAACAGGATTTTACACTCAGAAAGTGAGCTAAACAATAAAAATGTGTTTGTGACATTTGTTGACATCTTATATTACACATGGCATCACAAATATGATCAGAATACATTACATACACTGTTAAAATTGTTCTTTTCAGTGTTTTTCACAAGTGCTTTTTTTGAATTTATTAGGTTTTAATACTTATTCATTTCAAATTTCATACATTCAAAAGGTTAGCCTAACCATGGGAGCAGTTTTCATTTGTAGAGGGGTGTGAGCACGTGTTTGGCCCTAAACATCCACATGAATACTGCCATAACATATATATCCAATAAAATGTGGGGGATAAACCAGCAGCTTTATCATGATACAATATTATATTGATTTATTTGGATGACGTTGCGATAACACAAAATCTGTCATGACACAGTTTCACAATTAAGTCTGTGACTGATATAATATTGATCCACATCGGGCATATGATGATAATATGGGTCTACGTTTTTGTTTTGCTTTAATGTAATTGAATCATTATTTATTTAATCAAAATATAGATGTGGCTCAATGTATTGCTACATCCCTAATGAAATGCACACTGGCCATCTATACAGATTTATCTGAATGTGGACATTTAAAAAATATTCTGTATATTTAGGAAAAACAGCTGTAAAAGTGCTCGACTTCAGGCTAATCTGCCTACTTTTCTTTAGGTTTTATGTAAGTTTTGCACACAGTGATTACTGTTTCATATAACTCAATATATTATTGGGACTCCAAGTATTATTGGAATTTAAACGTGCCACCCTAATGGAATCTGTTTTTATTCATTTTGTCTTTATTCACTTTTCATTCATTTTTTTATCTATGTGTTTGTGTATGCATTCATTAGGGGATGCTCAAGCACCCTCCACACCCTTACTTCTCACAACTTTATTCCTCAGATGCACTCAAAATAAGGATAGACACTTTAGTGTTTCAACAGAAACGTATTCGTTTGAGAAATGTGTGATGTCTGTATTTATAGTGAAACACTGTTTAAACGTGTTTTTTTTTAAACTCTTCTCAWTGTTCCACTCAGTATAAATAGTTTTGTGGTTTTATTCTTTACAGGTAGGGCTCCAATTCCACGAGTCAAATTACTAATCACTGTCAAGCTGTCACTCCCCTCCGCGTCCACTCACAAGTGGAAAAAAGTTCTCCAAACTCGAGAATGACTTTATCCAAATACACTATTAGTCCACAATTTGTGTAGGGAAGCCATGTTTATTTTCACAAGCGCTCTGTTTTTTTCTTTTTTTTTGTGAAGGGATTCAGATGATGAAAAGCCAACACATATGGTTAACATAACCAAACAATGCCAACACTTGATCCTTTTAAAAAGGAGCTTTAAATGTTTAGCTGTCCCACAAGTTTGAAGTGCACCGGCTTCATGTCCAAGCCAAACACGAGGAGAAATGAAGCAGTCTGGAGAAGGGAGCCACAGAGCGATGTTAGGAACATTTGGAAGTCTTGCTCAATTCTTGGTTTTACCCAAAGCCCCTGTCAGAAGCAGTGCTCCTCAAATTAAGAAATAAATCCTGATGCTAACAGAAAAACTGGATCTGTGACACCGCTGCACCCGTTTAGTTCCGAAGTCCAGATCCTGCTTTTCTAAATACCTCTTTTAAAGGTGAGAGTCATTTTGTAAAGAGCTGTGTTTTCTCTGATTTCTGTTCTGATACTCACAATGATTCAGCTCCTTTGATGTGGGGTTTTGTGAAAAGCTTATTAACAATTATCTTACCTGCTGTAGATGGCTCTTTGACAGTCTTAGTTTGAAGAAACAGTTTAATTCTGACTGGACTTACAGCTGAGCAATATCAAGATCAAAGTAAATTTCTATCATTTTAAACTATTTCAAAACAGTTAAATTTAATATTTTATAAACTTTTCCGGTGCTCTGCATTATTTTGATGATCCTGAAAAAATATGGATATAGTCTTGTTCTTCTCCAGGATGAAGCTAACTGTTGAAATTTACATTATATAC